TATTTCCCGCTTCCCTGAATATTTTGGGGGGTGTGAAGTTTGTACCTGAGGTACATGAGGCCTTGATGTGCTTTTCTTACGTGTGAAATATTACACATAATATTGGTATATTTTCTTGACTGAAATAGTTCTAACTTGATTGAAGTATAGTACACATATAGAAAAATTCATGTAACGGCTCAGTGAAGTCTCACAAACCACACACAGCCACGGAAGTAGCACAGGTCAAGAAATACAACATAAGCGACACCTCAAAAGGCCCCATTGTGTCCCTTTCCATTGACTGGAATATTTTTAATTTTCCTGTATAAAAATAAAGTTCATCTCATTCTTCATCTCTTAAATTTCTTCGTCATTTGGGCTCTAACATTATTTTCAGAGTCTTCTTTGTAGAGGGGGAACCTTCACTGCAATGCATGTCTTCCTCCTTTCATAATCTTTTTTTTTTCTTCTTTTCTTTTTCTTCATAATCTCATCTCTTGATCAGCCTACTTCCGTTAAACCAAACTGTTTTGTGTGGCTACAAAGTCACACTCAAGGGAATATGAAGGTTGGAATAGAACATGCAACTGTGAGTCAGTTGCTAAGAACATTTTTTGGGATTTTCAAAACTGAACAAAACTTTGGTGAGCTCAACCCTGTATTTGTTAAGAGGTAATGAATGAGCAAATGTTAAGCTGTCTTCCGTTGTGGGAAAATGGTGAGGGGAGCAGCTTCCTCATTCTCAGAACTCTCATCAGGCCTTCAGAAATTAAAATTATCTGTGAAGGTTGTGAGCTTTCATCCAAAACTATAGCAAATTAAATACAGTCTTTGTAGATGCAAAGTCATCCACATAGGGTTCTGGTCTTCTTCTCCACTGCACTTTAGGCTCATTTATGTTCATTTGTGTCCTGTGTTTTGTATATTTAAACATTTGAATAAAACTTAATTTTTAAACATCTTTTAAATTATTTCATCCCACTTTCAGGGCTTCTATGTGAAAGCTGATCTGACAGTGGAGCGGTTCAGTTGTAAGACCTGGTCCCTGGCTCCCAGGGTGGTCCAGGGTTGCAGCTGCACTATACCTCCCGAGTTTTCCCTCCAGCAAAACCAACCTGTTCTTAAATTCTTAAATTAGACAGGTTTAGAGGCATGTGTAACAGCACCTTGTCTATCTGATAAAGTGATATTCTGGATACTAGAATTTTCCAGATAACTCAAATTTTAGCCATTGTTGTACTCAAACATTACATTTAAAAAAGCATTAAACCAAGCTGGCCAGTTAGCTCAGTTGGTTAGAGTGTGGTGTTAAAGCACCAAGGTCAAGGGTTTTAGATCCCTGTACCAGCCAGCCACCAAAAAAAAAAAAAAAAAAAAAAAATTAAAAAGCATTAATTCTTTTTTTCCCCTGCATTCTGGGGGAGAAAAACATGCTAAATGCCTAGTAATAATTTTGTTCTGTAGAAAACCACAGGTCTAAATTGGTGCCAAATCTGGATGTTGCCCTGGAATTTCCCTTACTGGGATAGGGGCCACTTTTTAGGGGGGATTTGCATCTATCTTGGTAAAGGTGACAAGTAGAATGTGCAGCGCTGTGAACTCCTGGCATGTAACACAGTTGTCTTTTTCTGCAACATTATTGGTCACAGATCAAATTGGCCTTTTATAAATGATTACCTTCTTCTGTGTTGATGCCCAAATAGGTCACCATCAGCTGTTTGTCATTGTGACTATCCCATATCTTCCAAGAACTCATAAGAGTGTGTACACACATCACCATTTCAGGAATTCTTAAGGCATTTTGAAAACTCTTGTTCATAAGTCTACGGGGTTTATTATTTTTTTTTTTTTTAGGGGATAATATTTTATAAGAATTCTTAGGCCACGTTTTTCTTCAAACCCTTATTTTTGGTAGATAACAGAATCTTGGCCTTTTAAAGTACTTTTCAGATACATAGCTCCTTTTCTCAAATGCCAATGAGCCAGCATGGCAACACATGACTGCAGTCGCAGCCACTTGGGAGGCCAAGGCAGGAGGATCACTTGAATCCAGGAGTTCTGGGCTGTGGTCCACTATGCTGATCCAGTGTCCTCATCAGTATGTGACCTCTCGGGAGTGAGGCACCACCAGGTTGCCTAAGGAGGGGTGAATTGGCCCAGGTTGGAGAAGGAGCAGGTCAGAAGTCCCATGCTGATCAGTAGTGGGATTTCCGCACCTGTGAATAGCCACTGCACTCCACCCTGGGCAACACAGCGAAACCCTGAGTCTTAAAGCAATAGATAAGGGCCGGCCTGGTGCGCAGCGGCGCTCCCTCCGAGGGTTCGGATCCCATATAGAGACCGGTCCGCTCACTGGTTGAGCGCGGTGTGGGCGCGACACCAAGGGTTGAGATCCCGTTACCGGTCACGAAAAAAGACAAAAAGGGAAAGAAAAAAAAAAAACAATAAATAAAAAATAAAATAAAGGGCGATTGAGAGTGTCTGTGATACCTGTGCAGGGACTGTGACAGTGGCATGGCAGGAAGAAATCCAGAGCACTCTGCTTCCCAAACCTTTGACCTTAGCATGTGCTTTACAATCATCCAGCAACAGAATACCTTTGCTGGCCACAGCGTAGTGTAGTGTTTTTAAAATGAAGATTTAAAAATTATGAGTGTAAAACAAGACTTACTTAAAAGAATCTTAAAAAATAAAAATTGTAAATATCTTACATATTTATTTTAATCGTCGCAGTCTTTAAGAAAGTGCAATTATTTTTTTAAAGGGAGAAAAAAACTGATGAATAGAAAAAAGTTTTCTTCATCATTACACTATCAGTATATTTGTGACTCTTGGAAACTTGGAGGCTGCTGGGATTTTCTAGTAGCTAATATTTTTGGGAGCTTACTGTTTGCATTTATTAACTCTTGCAAGATATGCCACCTTGTCATATGCATATATACACTTAAAATCAGTGACTGGCACCTATGGCCAGAGGCTGGCAAGCATCACAAATAAGCACCAGCACTGCAAAACTCCTGAGGGCATAGCCTCTGTTCAGAAGTGAATTAGCCGTGATACAGCTTGGCTAATTGTTGATTATCTGTCAGTCTTCTCTCTCCTTTCTAATGTTGTATGTCACTTTGAAATGTTATACTCTTTAAAGCAATCTAGGTTCTGATTTGGCTATGAGTATAGTATCGTTCAGAATCTTGAATAAATTATTTTGTAAAGAATTTGAGCAGTTATCAAATCTTATTAGTGAATCAATTTTTTCTGAATTTTAATGTCTAACATTTTTTTAAATTAATAAACTTTTTTATTTTTAGAGCCGTTTTACGTTCACAGCAAGATGGAGCAGAAAGTTCAAAGTTCCCATTTACCCTCTGTCCCCACATACGCACAACCTCCCCCACATCACCGTTCTTCATTAGAGAGGTACATTTGTAGCAATCAAGAAACCTACATTGACACATCATAATCACCCAAAGTCCGTAATTCATGTTAGGGTTTCCTCTTGGTGTTGTACATTCCATGGGTTTTGACAAATGTATAATGACATGCATCCCCCATTGTAGTGTCCTACATAATATTTTCACTCTCCTAAATATCTTCTATGCTTTGAATAAATTATTTTGTAAAGAATTTCACCAAATTCCTCTTAGAACTTTGTTATGTAGTGTAGATTAACTACCACTGTGCAAGTCCACATTTTCCTGTGCTTACTACTTTGGAGTTGTGCTCACATTTCTGTTTTCTCTTTTAAGTCACCAAATTTATGCCTTCTGTCCTTTGCCTTTTGTTAGAAGTCTAAAATTCATAGAGTGGCTTTTATACTCTGCCTAGTCCTGTTCTCCTTTTTATTATTGTACAGATTACAGTGTCATGGCCTCACAGGAGGCAGCATTGGAGGGAACACTTGTTTGGAATCTGAAAATCTGGGTGTGCTTATTAGCTATATGATGTCACTAGCTTGTAACTTTGGGTGGCCACTTTGTTTTTTTAGATCTGTTTTCACATTGGTAGAATGCAGTGGTTCAGTAACGTGATCACTCTATGCCTTCCACCTGACTCGTGCTGGTTGGTATGCTTGCACCGTGAACTAACTTGAGCATACGTGGTTCTTGAGGGTTGTCGAAGTGAGTAGGATTTGCCATCTTTTTCATTAAAATAGTTTTCCTATACAAGAGAGTATGGTTGTGCTCACAAGCAACGGCATTATGGAGCTGTTTAGTGGATGCCTGTACTTGGAATAACCTAGAGAAGTTATTAGGGAATCCCAGGACTGGATCACTGTAGATACTGGAGGGTGGCTGAAGATCTCTAGAGAAGTCTAAAAGCTTCTGTCTGTTGCTACTCACTTCTGCTTTTACAAAACCTCTTATTTAAGACTTATTTACAGACTTAATTTAATCTTTATCAGGCTCCCTTTTATTCTCTGATGTCAGTATTTGCTTTCCAGAATATCCTCTCCAATTTTCTCTTTTTAAAAAACTAAATCTGGGGGCTGGCCCGGTGGCACACTGGATAGTGCGCCGCTTGGGAAGCGCAGCGGTGCTCCCACCCGAGGGTTCGGATCCCACATACGGACCGGTTCCCGCTCACTGGCTGAGCGAGGCGCGGGAGCAGCACCGAGGGTTGCAATCCCGTTGCCGGTCCCCGGTCCGGTACGGGGGCAACACTGAGGGTTGCGATCCGTTGCTGGACACGGAAAAAGACAAAAAAGACAAAAAAAAAAACAAAAAAAACTAAATCTGTTACTTTTCCCCATTCTTCTTTCTGTTTTCCTACTGAGGGTTTAATTCCAGATGTTTGAGAGCCTGAATTTGGGTTTTCTGAGATGATTTCCTTTTAACTTAACAGTGTTTAACATAATGCTGGTTGTTTGAAGTTAAAAGAAGTCTTACATCCATGTAACTGATAACACTTTAAGACCTTTCACAGGCAAAGCTAAAAAACAGCAGCAGTTGTCTTGTGGCTACCCTTTTAAAAGGGAAAAGGAAATTATTGATTTTTTTCCTTGTCTTATTTCTTTTCAGGTTTTGAATGAAGAATGTGATCAGAACTGGTACAAGGCAGAACTCAATGGAAAAGACGGCTTCATTCCCAAGAACTACATAGAAATGAAACCACATCCGTAAGTCTGGCTCCACTGACTTCCTAAGGGTCGGCCTACCTGCTTGTTTCAAATACTGTTTCTAAAATTGAGATCACTGGGATGGATGTCATACTTTTTATTCTGTCTTTCCAGGGAATTAACAAAGCGTGTTGATTTTGCATGTTAATAGTAATGTATGGCTGGGCTGGCCAGTTACCTCAGTTGGTGAGAGCACAGCCGTTTAACACCAAGGTCAAGGGTTTGGATCCCTGTACTGGCCAGCTGCAAAAAAAAAAAAAAAAATCATAGTATATAATGATAGTGTAATGGCCAATAATAGTATGGGTTTTAGATTGATAATAAGTATCAGTGATCTTCAAAAATAAAACAGTTGTTTTTCAGGTCCATAATTCTTTTTCTATTAAATCCTTGGCACCAGATGTTTTTCATAATTCTGCATTTTTTGAGTTTTAGGAAGGGTACTTACCATGTGGTTTTGTGTTTATATGTTTGATGACCCTGTGGGATAGTATCTTAATGTCTTTGTACCGCCAGAGCACAGCACTTAGCATATAATAGTTCTCCGTAAATGTTTGTTCCTCTATCTTAGTGTTCCCAGTTTAGAAAGAAATATACTCTCCTCCAGAATGCTGAGAGCAGTGAACATTTTAAATTTCTTCCAGGACCCCCACCTCCTGATTTATATTGATATGTGACAGTGGGACACTGGGAACCCTGACAGATACTGTTCTCCCATCTTCACTCACCCCTCTTTCATTGGCCCTGCTACTACCTCAAAAGCAGTCATTTGAATACTTTGTGAGTATGTCAGAAAGAAGCCAAGGCTTTCGAGGCTCAGACAAGTTACCATTGAGACATTGTCTACTGGGTTTAAACACCAAGTGGTGTGTAAGACTTTCAGATGACTTGCTTTCTCTAGTTGCAGCCCATTGGTCCCTCTCCCCTGTTATCACTGCTCTCACATGATAGTGTACCTGTCATTTCTCTTCCCCCAAGTACCAGAGCAAAGATCTTTTTTTTTTTTTTTTTTTTTTTTTTTAAAGATGACCGGTAAGGGGATCCTAACCCTTGACTTGGTGTTGTCAGCACCACGCTCACCCAGTGAGCTAACCGGCCATCCCTATATGGGATCCGAACCCGGGGCCTTGGTGTTATCAGCACCACACTCTCCCGAGTGAGCCACGGGCCAGCCCTGGAGCAAAGATCTTAATAACACGTTATGCTTCTTTATATTCCCCCAAATGCCCAAAATGTCATTTTACATGTATGTTATAAAGCTAGAAGGGGCTTTCAGGGTCATCTAATTCATTCTTCTTTATCCTGCATATTTTGAAAGCTTCTAGTATTTTATTTCACTGCCAGTAATTTATGAATGTAGCTGTCATTATAAAAGACTCAACAATATGGAAAGCCGCAGAGCAATATATGAGTTTGTCCCCATATACGTACCCTTGCAAAGATAATGGCCACTAGCAAATAAATGTGGGCCAAACACTACCTTAGGAACTGAACCCCTAACCTGTTCTAAAAAGATGGTTTGTCTTCTGTAAAATGAAACAAATGATTCAGGAGCCTCCCTATAAAAACTATCTATTGAGTTCATGGTGAATAATTATGTGGCAGGGACTGTGCTAGGTTCTGGGAAGTTGTGTTCCTTAGTTAACTTGTGATATAATAAAATTTCCATAGAGTTCATGTGAAAGCTTTTGAGATCACATCCGGGAAACTGTACCCTGGAGACTGAAGTTTGACAGTAGGAAGATGTTGATACCATGATGGAGAAACTGGGCGGTCTTCAAGGAAACTTCTTTTTACTTCCAGGAGAACTAGGCACCTTATAATGGCTCAATAAATGCTTCGTTGAATGATTTACAAGGAGAAAACCAGTCTAATTTGTAGAGTATATTTTTCTAGTTTTTGTCTGGAATGAGCACCATTTCTTATCTTCATAAATATATGAGTTTGATCTCCCCCCAAAAGATTTGAGGTTCCTTGAAGAATTTGTCTTCTGCTTTTTTTTTTTTTTGTCTTTTTTCGTGTCCGGCAACGGGATCGCAACCCTCGGCGCTGCGCCTGCCCCTCGCTCAGCCAGTGAGCGGGAACCGGTCTGTATGTGGGATCCGAACCCTCGGCGGGAGCGCCGCCACGCTTCCCAAGCGGCGCACTGTAGCAGTGCGCCACTGGGCCGGCCCCCATTCTGCTTTTTTACTCTATTATAACTTGTACCTTCATACCAGCCAGCTGCCAAAAAGAAAAAAAGGGCTGGCTAGTTTGCTCAGTTGGTTAGAGCGTGGTGGTATAACACCAAAATCAAGGGTTCAGATCCCCATACCAGCTAGCCACCAAAAATAGTAATAATAATAACTTGTACCTTGCTTTTGCACATGGTAACTCAGTAAATAGTTTTGAATTGGTACTCAGGCCAAAATTCTTGATAATAGAACCCAAAAGCATTAAATGTTCAAAGGCATATGCACATAAGATTGGGGGTTAACATGCAGCCATGCCCAGGTTACTAAAATATAGGCACAAGTGGTGATGAACAAGAAGCTGAGCACGACTTTCTTACAGATTTCCTGTGAAATGTGCTAAGCACAGCTTTGTATTCTTACAGCCATTTAGTGTCAGTATTTGCTTCAGGTGGTTGTTCGTGCTTTTCATGGAATGCACTCTACAGCAGAAGCATTGGGCAATAGTTACTGGGAGTGTGAGGGGCCACTGGGTCACCTAGCACATACTCCCTGAGTCCCATATAAACCAAATTATTTGTGCATTTCTGTTTCCATCAGTCCATCCTCAGAGTAAACCCCAGATCAAGGTTGATTAAACTTTTTCTGTATGAGCTAGATAATAAATATTTGAGGCTTTGTGGGCCACATACAGTCTCTGTCTTGTCAAATATACATATATATATTTTTAAAATTTTCTTTTAACAAATGCTCAACATCACTCAGCATCCGGGAAATGCAAATCAAAACCACTTTGAGATACCATCTCATTCCAGTGGGGATGGCTAAGATCCAAAAGACTGAGAATGATAAATGCTGATAAGGTTGCAGAGAAAAAGGAACCCTCCTGCACTGTTGGTGGGATTGCAGAATGGTGCAGCCTTTATGGAAAATGGTATGGAGTTTCCTCAAACAATTACAGGTAGATCTACCATATGAGCCAGCTATTCCACTGCTGGGAATATACCCAGAGGAATGGAAATCATCGTGTTGAAGGGATACCTGTACTCCCATGTTTAGTGCAGCACTATTTACAATAGCCAAGAGTTGGAACCAGCCTAAATGTCCATCAGATGAGTGGATAAGAAAAATGTGGTACATCTACACAATGGAATACTACTCAGCTATAAAAAAGAATGAAATACTACCATTTTCAGCAACATGGACGGACTTAGAGGAAATTATATCAAGTGAAACAAGTCAGGCACAGAAAGAGAAATACCTCATGTTCTCACTTATTTGTGGGAACTAAAAATAAATAAATAAGTATACAAACCAACAGTGGGGGGGGGGAGAAGACAACAATCAGCAATTCCTTGAACTTGTTAAGACAAGTGAACAGATATGATGTTGGTGGGGGGAGGAGGGGAATGGGTAAAGGGACACCAAAATCAACTACATTGTATATTGATAAATTAAAATTTAAAAAAAATTTTTTTAATTAAATAAATACATTACACAGAAAAAGAAAAAATAACAACCTATTAAAAATTTTAAAAACAGTCATAGGTTGTGGGCCACACGAAAACAGATTTAGGCCAAGGACCATAGTTTGCTGGCCCCTGCTCTAGATCCCACGATAACAAAATCAACTTAAGTTCCTTTTCATGTTCATATTTTCAGACTGAAAGCAAATTTAACAGAACGACATAATGTAATTTTTATATTAAATAAAATGCCTGTGTCTCTAAATCCTTGTTTTTCTTCAGATTGTTTCAGGTAACATAGGCCTTTTGAATCTGACTGTTGAGAAAACATAGGAAAAGGCCATCTTCCTTGGAAAGTTATAGTTACTGGCAGGTTGACTGGGAGAGTCACTGTTGTGCCTTGACCTTTCCCCCCACTGTAACAAACTTTGGAATAATTGATTGGGAATCATCCATCCAGCACAGGCTCCGCTGTGGTGGTGTTCTCAGACTCTAGCTGAAGGCTAGGCCGTGCTCATCCACTCTGAGCTCTGAAAAAGGAAGCTAAAAACTTAAAAACCATTATTTATCCAAGTCTGCCATATTGCCAAAAGAGACTATGCTTGTGCCTATGTGGAGGTATGGCCTTACAGGCCTAACAGTCCCGTTATAGGACTGCTCAGTGGCTGGACGTTTGCAGGTGTAGGATCAGGTCAGTTTCATAGCTGTGGTGCAGCACAGAGTCCCTCCCCTTCCCCCCCCCCCTTTTTTTTTAGGTCAGGAAGGGCGCAGGAAGTATAAAATGAAATGCAGCTTCACCTAATACAGCATTTGAATAAACAAATTAAACACAGACTACAAAATGATTGTGGGCATTTGTGTTGTAACATGAGTTGTATATACTGGGGGTGGATCCAAATAAGTATGTGTTTTTCATATTAAATGTACATGGACAGGAGCCTATGGGATGTATAGAGAATTAAATTGGGAAATAATCCTTCTCCTCCCCTTAGCTTTCTCCCTTGCTATTTCTTTTGTAGTATAAACCCATCTTTTAAAAGCTTTTTAAAACATTTGACCATAGGCATGCAGTTACACCATTAAAAGAAGTAATCAAATATATAAATGATATAAAATTTTATGGAAATGTAGAGTGGTGGTATTTAAATGTTTTAACTGGAGTGTGGGGGACATCTTTTAGAGAGAGCACATGCGTGCCTCTCTGTTTAGTAGAAATAGCAGATATAAGAGAAATTTTTGTTTAATAAAATGGTCTCCAAACCATTTCTTTTTCGAAATAGAAATTTTCTATTTCTCTGAGTTCTTGTAACAGGTGTGTGTTTATTTTGTAAAAATGCCAATAGATTGCTTTTCTATATTTGTAATTTATACTTCACTACAGTTTTTTAAATTGAAAATAGAATTGAATTCATTTTAAGCTGAGGGCAAGAAAACACCGCCCTATGTATTTGTGCACCATGGGGAAAGTTCTGAAGACATACAAATTATAACTGCCAACAGTTGCTGCCTCTGGGGAGTTTTCCTAAGGGGAGAGTCTTGCTTTTTATTTTTAATTCATGCACATCTAGTCTGTTTTAATTTATATCCATTACTTTATACCTTTAAAAAAGGAAAGTCCCTGTCTGGTGGGAAGATCTTGGGGGTCTAGGAGGAAAGAGAATGTGGCTGTTGAGAAACATGCCCCCTGCCCGGGTGCAGTGTGAGAGAGTGGAAGCATGGCCCTCGTGTGGATCTTCACCCTGTCGCACCTGGTCGTGTGCATGCTGTGCACAAGTACATTACGAGCCCTAGAGCACCAGAGACTAGAAGATGCTTAAATGGTCTCGATACTGTTAGCTGTCCTTTCATATTTAGAGACCATTCTGTTCTATTAATACACAATTTCTCTTGTGTGGCCTGATTGCCAGGCACTGCAGGATTTACCCTTGAGTTATTTGTAGAAGCAGGAGGATGGATTTGTACCAGCTCCTCAGTAGCCTGGCATTAGAGTATGCAAAATGAGAGAGATGAAGTCGGTAGATGGAGGTACTGTTCAGAGGTTACTAAGGGCAACTTCTGACTGTATCCTTCCCAGCAGCTCCCGTCTGTTTGAATTTTAGTACCATTTATTATTTTAGAGATCTTTAAATATGGTTGCTTATAGCTAAGGTAGATATATAAGTTAAATTTATAATATTAATGAACTGTTGGGTCCATTTGATACTATAGTTTGCATATTAAATGAATGCTAGTTACATAAAATAGGTCTTTATTAGCTATAAATAACATTTTTGCTTTCTAAAAATAGTAAAACAAAGTCAGTTTTGAAAAGAGCATTGCTTTCATGGTTCCTTCATCCTAATTAGTAATGGTTTTCATTTGAAACAGCCAGTGACTCTAAGCTCTTTTAGAAATGGCTATGACTAGGGGCCGGCCCGGTGGCGCACTGCTACAGTGCGCCGCTTGGGGGCGCGGCGGCGCTCCCGCCGAGGGTTCAGATCCCACATACAGACCGGTTCCCGCTCACTGGCTGAGCGAGGTGTGGGTGCAACACCGAGGGTTGCGATCCCGTTGCCGGTCCCGGTCCGGTATGGGCGCGACACTGAGGGTTGCGATCCGTTGCCGGACACGAAAAAAAGAAAAAAAGAAATGGCTATGACTCTAAGCTCTTTTAGAGGCGTTCCCCTCCTCTTCTTCCTGGTAAGCCACAGGCCAGTTGTTCCCATAGTTTTGTGCAAATTCAACCACTCTCTCTTCTGGCCAAGGTGCATTAGCATTGGGAGAAGAAGAGTCTGTAACTTGCTTCAAATGAAAAATCTTAATTTTGCAACTAGCTGCTATGCATATGGTAAATTATAGTGTTCCTGAGGGCTTCTAAAAGCTAATCTCTGAGCAGTGACCACAGAGAGAGGCCCTGAGAGGAAAGCTGACCTTAGTTACTGGTAGAGGCTGCTCTCTCAGGCTGAACCTTTTCCCTTTGGGCTGTTAGCAGAAGTAGCTCTGTCTCCATCTTCTGGGCCCTGCAGGTTTCCTCCCCTTTTCTCTTATTCCCAGTGTAGCAAAGCTGTGACGTTATCAAATGGCTGCACGAAGGGGCCTGACTCCCCTTGTGTGGTTCATCCGGTACTCCTCAGATCCTCAGACCTGGGCTTTCCCCGGGTGCCTTTCTGATGAGTCAGTAGGGAGCCTAGTGAGCTTTGGCCTGGGAGGCCCATTTTTTAAGTATCTTTCTCTATAGAAAAAGTGGCCCATGCCAGTGCCTTGATGAGTCACTTTCTGGAAAGTAGAGTAGGGTGGAGTCATTTGAAGGTCTCCCTCTAGGGGATAACCTGACGGAACATCATCATTGGGCATGGTAAGACTGGAGGGTAAAGAGAGAAGCCCCTTCCTCTGGCAAGGAGTGTTGTGTTGCTCACATTTCAAAGGCTGAATAACCCGTCTCTTTGTGGGGAAGCAGATGTTGACTGGCTTGCCTTCCTTCCTTAGGTGGTTTTTTGGCAAAATCCCCAGAGCCAAGGCAGAAGAAATGCTTAGCAAACAGCGGCATGATGGGGCCTTTCTAATCCGAGAGAGTGAGAGTGCTCCTGGGGATTTCTCCCTCTCTGTCAAGTAAGTATTTCCTGCTTTAGTTGCCTGGAATCCTGTCCCCAACTGATCTAAATTGTGAAGCCATCGGTCAGGTGTCCAGCTACACACAAACTAATGGAGATTTAGCCTAAACAGTATATTGGTTTTACATTAAAATCCTAATTTGGCGCTGCTTAAAAATTAGTTCTTGCAGCACTGGGTTTAGATTCTCACTTGGAAACAGTTTTTAGGAGCTGAGCAGCAGCTCCCCTTCAGGCAGCATGTGCTTGCCAATGTTCCCTGTCCCCCCTGCCTATTAGTTATCCCTCATTGGAGCACCCTAGCCCTCTGTGGGATTCCTGCAGTTCTCTCCAGTGGAATAACTGATGGCCATTTCAACTGTCTTTGCTTGCTTTTACCAGATAGCTAGCTCAAATCTAGCAACCCCTTCCCAGGCCTTTCACATTAACTTAAGAAGGTTATCACGAGGGATTTGGAGATTTTGCTTTCCCTAGGGGTAAATTTAAATGTGGTAGGGAGCTGATAAGCAGGGAATAGGGAAGACAGAGTTTTACAACTTTGGAAACCATGGAGAATATAAATTGGAACTTTAAGGATTGTAAGCAAATCACACCTCATCTGCGCAATAAGGATTTTGAATTAGATTGTTATTTCCATATGTTTTTTGGCTTTCAGTCCTTTTCTAGCTAATATATTAGCACAGGAAACACTCCCCCAGGAATCTTACAAATCACTTTATTTATACACAAAGAAGTGATTAGGTTAAACACTCAGATCACTATTTTATTATAGATTACATTAAGATTGTTTTTGAAAGGAAGGCTATAAAACAATCTTTAATTTACAAATGATGTAAAACATGAAGCTTTTCAATTTCAGAAATGAACTTAATATCTTGTTTTATTTTAGGAACAATGTATGGTTCAAGAGTAGTGTTTTTTTAAAAATGTAGATTTAAATTTATAGTTGTGTTCTTTTTCTAAATGAAGATATGAGAGGTTTCGGTGATATTTGTAATACTTCACAAATACATTTGCAGTGGAAGTTTAATTCCTAACGTGAAAAGGTCAAACTGGATATAATGATCAGTTTTCCTCTTGTAACAAGGGCTTTTTGAAGGCTTTGATTGAACATATGCAGGTAAGGTCTAATGAAGAGCATGTTGGGTGGGTTTGTGGAATTATCTTTATGCTTCTCACTAATTCATATGTCATCTGTTTTCCTTACATTTTGTACTGATCCGAGTATAAATTAAACTGTAGGACAGGGAATACAAGCAATTAGTCATTGGGCGACAGCCAGATTCACTTATTGGGGCAATTGCAGTGTTGGGCTGGGGGCCTGCCAGTCTGCTGGGCACCAGTCACTGCGTATGCAGGACTCTCCAACCCCACTCTCTTTATCAAATAAAACCCTTTAAGAAGTTAATGTAGGGCCGGCCCAGTGGCGCACTGGAGAGTGCGCCGCTTGGGACCGCAGTGGCGCTCCCGCCAAGGGTTCGGATCCCATGTGGAGACCGGTTCCCACTCACTGGCTGAGTGCGGTGCGGGTGCAACACCGAGGGTTGCGATCCCGTTGGGCCGGCCCAGTGGCGCACTGGAGAGTGCGCCGCTTGGGACCGCAGTGGCGCTCCCGCCAAGGGTTCGGATCCCATGTGGAGACCGGTTCCCACTCACTGGCTGAGTGCGGTGCGGGTGCAACACCGAGGGTTGCGATCCCGTTGGGCCGGCCCAGTGGCGCACTGGAGAGTGCGCCGCTTGGGACCGCAGTGGCGCTCCCGCCAAGGGTTCGGATCCCATGTGGAGACCGGTTCCCACTCACTGGCTGAGTGCGGTGCGGGTGCAACACCGAGGGTTGCGATCCCGTTGCAGGTCCCCTGTACGGGCGCGACACCGAGGGTTGCGATCCCGTTACCGGTCAGTAAAAAAGACAAAAAAAGGAAAAACAAAAACAAAAAAAGAAGAAGTTAATGTATTTATTGTTTTAGAAATAAATTTGAAACAGATGTCATTAATATCTTTAACAACACAAACACCTTTGCAAATCAGCAGTCTCTGAGACATTTCTCTATTTTCAACACGTTCTGAGTATGTGATTTAGAACACTGTAGTTGACGTAACACTCACTGTTAGGGATGCTACACTCATAGAAACCGGCTGCATTGCACTGGTGGGAGTGGCCTCTGTGGGGCCAGAAGTGCCATTTGAATATGCCCTTCCTAATGAAGCTCTCTCCCATGCATATTTTCTCCTGCATGAAAAGCAACACTGTTTCTGCACACTCGCTATCCTGCACTCAGCGGCTCCCTTGGAGCGCAGTGCTGCCACCTGCAGGATGGTTTTTAGGAAGTGTTTGGTTTCTTGAAGCTTCAAGACTGAGGGAGAGGAGAGACCCATGCATTGAACGGTGTTTACAGAGAGCCTTGTGAGGGCCTCGCAGTGCACAGGACAGGCAGAGCCCTCACTGAGCTGGTACTGCTATGACGACCCCGTGGGCCAGTGCCAGTCAGTCACACACTTGCTGGTTTTGCTGGCCAGTGTAAAAGGGAGCATGAAGAAGTTTTTGGTGCCTGGGCCTCTTTTTTTTTTATTTTAAGAAAATGTACTTTTATTATTTTTTACATCCTAGGATGTTGTTGTGGAGCAGTTGGAAGGGAGAGGGAGAGGGGAAAGGGAAAAGAAATGGGATGGAAGAAGGAGGAAGGAGGAAGGGTGAGATTGAGGCCTGTGTCATCCCCCTCATTCCCACAGGGGAGACCGGGGGGTTTCCAGCGGTGGCTTGGTCATTGCTGGGCTGGGTGCAGATGTTAATTGGTGTGGCAAAAGCCCTTGCCCCCCACCATCACAGCTCAGGAACCCGGGCCCCTTCTTGCTGAAGCTTGGTGGTTGTTGCTGGGCTGATTGCATGTGTCAGGGGGGCGTGGCTGAAGCCCAAGGCCCCCCATTGCCCCGGCTCAGGAGAGCCCAGGCACTTCCTGAGGTGGCTTGGTGGTTGTCACAGGGCTGGCTGCGGGTATGGGGGAGGCATGGCTGAGGCCTGGGCCTCTTTTATTGTCCCGGTATGTCCTTTTGTTCTAAGACCTTTTTCCCATGAATAACTAAGATTCTTGGCTGTCTTAAGGAAGGTTCTGTATTATTTGGTACAGTACAGGGGATATAGAAGTGTGTGGTAAGTTAGCACATATTCTTTTTTTTTTTTTTTTAAAGATGACCGGTAAGGGGATCTTAACCCTTGACTTGGTGTTGTCAGCACCACGCTCAGCCAGTGAGCGAACCGGCCATCCCTATATGGGATCCGAACCCGTGGCCTTGGTGTTATCAGCACCGCACTCTACCGAGTGAGCCACAGGCCGGCCCAGCACATATTCTTTTTATATTACAAACATCTTCAGAAGTAGATTGATGGATGGGGTTTTTCCCTGTCTAGCAAGGATTCTTCATATTGTGGCTGGTGACCATCAGTCATATGGAGGGGTACCAGGGATGCTCTGTGACTGCCCAGCTCTCTCCAACCGAGGAGTCCTATTGCTCTACGGTCCCTGGGCCCCTCAGGCTGTGAGCAGTGTTGCCAGAATAATGGTTCTCTCAGGACACCTCCTATATGGGCAGGTGGCCCCCGATTAGCCAAGATAGAACCCTTTGACCGGTTCACCTGTGTTATCTGCCCCTCCCCAGGTTTGGAAATGATGTGCAGCACTTCAAGGTGCTCCGAGATGGAGCTGGGAAGTATTTCCTCTGGGTGGTGAAGTTCAATTCTTTGAATGAGCTGGTAGATTATCACAGATCTACATCCGTCTCCAGAAACCAGCAGATATTCCTGCGGGACATAGAACAGGTGCCACAGGTAAGCCTCATAAGGGAGACAGAGGGATCACTTTTAGCAATTAAGAATAACTCCTTAAGCAGTAGGTGCATTTCAAAGGATTATTTCTAGGGCTTCTATGTTTGAAACATTACCCTTAATTCACGTTTAAGATTTGTAGTTTGAAATAAAATGTTTTTGCCTTTTACAGAGGCTGCCTCTCTGAGGTGGGTTTTTAGTTTACCACCTCTCTAGGGAGATGGTCTTTAACACGTGCTCTCAAATACTAGGGGTCTTGAGAAAGTTCATGGGAAGAGTCATATTATCTTTTAATTCTGTCTTTCCATGAACTTTTTGAAGCACTCTCATATTCTCTCCCTGGAAACAAATTGTGAGGAAAATCATATTTGTGAGGGAATGGGGCCCACACTCATTTCTGTATTTCTGTTCCTAATATCCCAGCCTTAAGTTAGGGTTAGGACCACTTTAGCTCTTGACTTTTTGACACTATAAAACCTTAAGGGTGTTGCAAGTGATAGGAACTCAAGCACTTTCAAATCCTGGGACTGTGAACGAAGCCCACATGGCCATTTCCCAAGTACTCTCCCCTCCTGGCAGCACTTGCAGCGCTCTGCTTGATAGTGTGGCACACTTGGCCACCTCAGTGAGATATACCCTGGCATCTTTTTAAGCACTGGTGAAAGATTACACCAAACCTACTTAGAGTAAACTTAGAACATGTGAGAATAAATGGTGGGGGGGTGGAGCAGGAGGTTATTTCAGGAAACATGAAAAGTTTGGCCCACATTGGTTTCCCCTTGTAGCCAGCCTGCCCACGGTTGCGGGTGCATGTGTGTGTTTTCCCTGCTCTTCTTTTGCAGCAGCCGACATACGTCCAAGCCCTCTTTGACTTTGATCCCCAGGAGGATGGAGAGCTGGGCTTTCGTCGGGGAGATTTTATCCACGTCATGGATAACTCAGACCCCAACTGGTGGAAAGGGGCTTGCCATGGGCAGACCGGCATGTTTCCTCGTAATTATGTCACCCCTGTGAACCGGAACGTCTAAGAATCAGGAAGAGATTATTTAAAGAAAGTGAAAAATTTAAAACACACACAAAAGAATTAAACCCACAAGCTGCCTCTAACAGCAGCCTGTAAGGGAGCTCAGAACACCCGGCTGGGTCACCCTGGTGACCCTCTCACTTTGGTTGAAACTTTGGAGGGTGGGAAGGGGGCGTTGGATATAAAAATGCCAAAACTTACCTATAAATTAAGAGAAGAGTTTTTATTACAAATTTTCGCCACTGCTCCTGTTTCCTCTCCTTTGTCTTTTTCTTCATCCTTTTTCTCTTCTGTCCATCAGTGCATGATGTTTAAGGCCACATATAGTCCTAGCTGATGCCAATAATAAAGGAAAAGAAACCAAGTGGGCTGGTATTTTCTCTATGCAAAATGTCTGTTTTAGTTGGAGTGACTGAAAGGAGAAGCATTGTTTCTGTGCTCTTCGCATATACACACACGCAGCAGAGGGGCCGGGCCCCGAAGCCTCGAGGTTTAGCTTCTGCCAGAGGAGGGGGCGCGTGGAGGACTCTGCCTTCCGGCCCCTGGCCCCGGTATATTTTGTCAGAGTTGGACTTAGCGTGGGGTGGAAGGAAGGCATGTTGCCTGCCCCTCTTGGCTTCCTGGGAAAATCAAACTGAAAACCTGTGTCTTTTTTCCACTTTGTTTCCCCTTGCAAATGGTATTACTGAGCATGTTGTTTTTTCATAGTGCCTTTTTCCTTATTTCAAGAGTTGCTTGTGAGTGGTGTTTATCTGGTTTGTTTTAAAATAAGTTAAAGACAGTCCTGAGCTTTTCAGCCAATTTGTCTTCTACTCTGTGTAAATATTTTTCCCTTGGGGGAGGGTAAAGCAGGGTAGAGAAAAGGAGACAGGTCGGGGCAGAGCCTGTGGGCGCCCCTGCCTGTAAGAAGCCAGAAGGCTTTGAGGTCCAGCTTTAATATTTGTGAGCCCCTCGGAGTTTAATGGAGCCGCTGGCCTGGGGTGTGATGTGACTGAGTGCCAGGGAAGGAGGAGAGGACACAGCTCCTCCACGTCTGACGGGACCTGGCTGGAAAGGGGTAAGAATCCTTGACTTTGTGGTCTCAAGTGTTGTCTGCCCCTCCTTGTTCCCAGACACCCCTAGACACAAACCCCTGGAGCCAGCAAGGTTTGAACACAGGAAAGCTGGAGGAGAAAATACTGTTTAAACTGCTATTCTTTAGTTGTGACAGATAATACCATATTCCTACACTGGGAGTAGAAAATGAGAATAGCTTTATTTTTTTTTTGCTCTTCGATTTAGGTCACGGCTTTCACCTTTTGTGTCCCCTAACCTGTCCGGGTGAGCATTAGGGCAGCGTCAAGAGGCAGCAGGATTGTTCACGTTTCTGTTCACAGCAGGCTGTGTTTATAGCTGCTGCCCTCACCCCTACAAACAGAACGTCCCATGGAGCAGGGAGAGTTGGGGAAGAAGGAAAGGTTGGAAAGGTAGGAAGGCGAAGGCCACCGCCACCGCAGAGCTCTCTGTCTGTCTGCTGTCAGCTTTTGGTCCCTTGTAGTGATGTGCCTGTCTGCTTTTTCTCTCGACCCAATCCTCTTTCCGCAACAAAAATGAGGCCACTTGCATCTCTCTCCCTGGGAGTGGTGACGGCCCTGGGCCTTTGGGTTCTGAGGCCATGGAGGGACTGTCCCTTGGACTCTGTTTATGGACCTGGACTCAGCCTGGAGCACCGGGAGGCACCAGGAGGAGGGAGCGTGTTCCTGCCTCCCCTCGCTCCCTCTCCTCTGCTGCTCCTTTCCTCACGGATGAGAAAAGGAATCCCTGGCATCTTACACCCGGACCATTGGATTGTTTTATTTCAGAATTGGTGTATATCATGAAGCCTTGCTGAACTAAGTTTTGTGTGTATATATTTTTTAAAAATCAGTGTTTAAATAAAAAGACCTATTGTACTTAATCCTTTAACTCTGCGGATAGCATTTGGTAGGTAGTGATTAACTGTGAATAATAAACATACAATGAATTCTTCACTCTATCTTTTTTTCTCTTGCCTTCCTTAAAAATTTAAAAACCGTGTAAGGCGTTAGGGAGTCCGGACTCTTGGGTCCTTATTTCTGACTCACTTGGCATGCGTCACTCTTGGGTGACCTCTTGGGGAGTGATGCCAGTGCCTGGCTGTTCTTCAGAATTCCTGGGGAGCTTGGTAACACTACCAAGAGTCGCAGACTCCACCCGCAGATCCCAGGACGTTTCTGGTTGAGGCACACACCGGCACGCCTGGCCTTTCTGATGTTGAGAAACATGGGGGCTTCGGCAGGACAAAGAGCCTGGCTTCTTTGGTTCTTCCCACCCCTCTCTCTGTGTTAAAGGAGCAGAAGGATCTGTGACGAGGTGGTTTCAATATGCTAAGTAGCTAAAACATTTGTTAGCTCAGTAGGAGGCTTTTAGGGTGAGACTAGGCCTGTATAACCACACACACTGGCCACAGGAGACCGAACAGGATTTGTTCAGACAGCGATTGAACCCCAGGAATTTCCACTTGCACTCTTGGTCTGGTTCTTAAGTGGACCTCAGCATGCCACCTCACTTGTGGCTACACTGCTGGGGAGGGGGTGGGTTGCAACTCTCCCTGTCCCTGCAGTGACCGTGTGTGAGAAGAACGTTACCCAGTATTGTCCTGCTGGGGGCTGCTGTCTCCACAGTCCACTTAGGCTAGCCACCTTGAAGCTGAGTCCAAGTTTCCATCATGGGGCCATTTAAGTGAAAAGTCAGTGACAGTCATTTAGCCTCATTTGAGGCTTTTTGCTCAATTTGTTCCCTCTCTGTATGACTGACTGCCTCAAAATAGCATCAGAATTAATAGGAAAATTGCTGGCTGGCTAGCTCGATTGGTTAGAGAATGGTGGTGTAACACCAGGGTCAAGGGTTCGGATCCCCATGCCAGCCAGCCAGCGACAACAAAAAAAAGGGGAAATCACTGCTTTTGTGTGATCATCAGTTTGGTCACAGATTTCTTGGTGATTGTATCCCCCCTCAGGGATCTGTAATTCCTGGCAAGGCATCTGGGTGGGAACACCTTTGGGAAGCCTACCAGCATCTTCCGGTGTTGTCGGCTGGGTGTTCAGCTGTGGAATATCCCCGTTGTGTCTGACGGGTGAAAGCCGGAGGTGGGCAAGCGGCCTCTTCCTGAGCTCGCTCTTCAGTTGGCCCTGCTGCAGCTGGAGCTGGGGTGCTCCCTCGTGGGTGACTGACAGTCCTCAATACTTGCTAAGCAGCCTGGGAGCCTGCAAAGGCCTGTCTTCAAACATGATTGTGGAGGAGACAGTGATGAATGGCTACTGAGGGCTCCAAGGCAACCTGCAGTGTAAGGGCGGCTTACGTGGCATTTTGAGGGGGAAAGGCCATCAGCACAGTAGTCTGCCTTTCAAGGACCTTGTTCCCCATGTCCTGCTTACGGAGTATGTGATCTCCAGGTCAAAACGTTTTGCTTTGTGAAAGTTCCTGGTTAACTAGGAAAAAGGAAACGAATTGTATTTCATGCACCTTGGAAATACTTTTAATAGAGACACTACTTACATGTAATACAAATTCACCAGCTCTGAGCCCTATTTTTCACTCAGGAATAAAGAGAAAGTTGCTCATGGACTTCGTGTTCATTTGGGAGCTTCTTAAACTTGGTCCCGTGGGCTCCAGGCCCCTCACCAGCCAGTAGTCCGGACGCAAATGAGTGATGTGCTCACCACCAAGACGGCTGGCATTGAAATCCTAAGTGGTCGCTGTATTTCAGGTTACTTATCACTATTAAAGAAGTAAGAGTACGGTTCTGTGTGCCAGCAGCACCGGTACATTAATATTACATGGTAGTGGTATTGATTAATCCACTTACTACTCAAAGCATTCCAAACATTAAATTTAAAACTAGCAGAGTCAGTTTAAAAGGCACATTATATCTTGTCCAAACAAGAAATTACAGAGACAGTCTTTCAAGACTTGATTCCAGCCCATCCATGAGCAACACTGGTCTTAGGTCTCAAAAGACAGTCTTGTTTTCTTAATATTCCTGAATTTGGGTTAAGAAAGCGTGACGTCATGGCTATCTTCTGAGTCTGGTCACTTCACCTGTGCCTACCTCCAGAATAGCAGCTGGCAGGTCCTGAGGCTTGCTTTATGCTGCAGACTTGTGGAGGGGTCCTGAGCTGGGGACGTGGGGGGGATGGGAGAGGAATGGCCCCTGCTTTAGCTCCTCTCCTCCTCCTGTGCCGTGCTCAGGAAGCAAAGGGCATGGGGTGCCCCCTGACAGGCGTGTTGATCACTTCTGGTAGCAGTTTGTATGATGAACTTCATTCCTGAGACGTGTGGTATTCTACTCTAAACGCTCTGGAATTGGAGGCACTTCCGCCTCTAGTTAAGAGGCTGGGGAGACCCGCATGTATATCCTCGATGGCAGAACATCGGCTGCCCCTTTCCACTCCCACGCTTGCAGCATTACTGCCTTGAGTCATCCTGAAACTGGAAATTGCCCCACTTGGGGCTTCTGCTGTGCTTGATATAGATGCGTTCTTCTCGGGATTCTTGTATTGTCATGCAAGCCGTTGGATGAGGGAACTTGAGAGAGGAAGTGGGGACAGCACACAGTCCCAAGGGGCGTGGAGGCTGCGGACGGGTGGGACTTGCCCTAGATGTTGGGTGAAATGAGTTTAGACCATTATTAATAGGACAGTGGACATGGAGGGCAGGTGGCGCAGTATTAGTGGGGGTGGGGTGGAGCCCAAGTGCTTCCTGCAGTGAGTAGAGAGTGGGTTTGGGGACCTGGAATGTGGGCTGAACATGCCCGCTCTGCCTGTTGACACCGCAGGCTCCATATGTCTTGTAGGTTAGTGGCATGATGAAAGGTGAGCCTTAGGGACACCTGACTTGCAGTAGTGCACAGAACAGAATCAGGATAGTGTGGAAGAGGCCACATTTGTGACGATTTAAGGAAATAAGGAGCTGCATCAAGGCCTGCCTGCCGCCTAGCCCGGGTCTCTCCTCTGCCAGTAGCCCAGGCCATGTGCCCACCCTCCTTGCGGTTCCGAGCAGCCACGTGCTGAGCCCTGGTTCGTGAGGGACGTGCTTGTGGCTGGCCTTGACACAAGTGCTGTGTTGTGCCACTGACTCTGGGGCTCGTGACAGCAGCTCCCCTACCCTGACTCTCCAGGGGCTGCACTGGGGTTGGTGAGGCTTGAGAGGCCCAGTTAAAAACATTAGGCTGTGGGGGAGGATATGGAATCACTCATCATCTAAAATATAAGGAAGCAGCAACGACAGCAAAACCAAAGCTGACATGAGACCAGCGGGACACTCTCCTAACGGACGTGGCGGGCACTGTGGGCCAAGCTCCACGTGAGGGCCTGGCT